AACGTTCTTCAAATAAGAGAAGGCCACGTTTAATAACCTCCACAGAAACAATATCCCCCTTAGAGAAAATAAACAAATCATCAGCAAAGCATAAATGAGTTAGTTTAATATCCCCACAGCCTTGATGATACGAAAAAGATGCCTCCTCCTCAATACACTTCGCAAGGAGCATCGAGAGGCCCTCCATAACCACAGTGAACAGATAAGGAGAGAGGGGATCGCCTTGACGAAGGCCCCGTTTGCCATGAAAAAAACCCTCCGGTTGGCCATTTACACAAATAGAAAAGGAAGGAGAAGTGACCAGGGACTTTATCCAGTTAATCATAACAGGATGAAAACCCATTCCCYTTAACATCTCCAAAAGAAACTGCCAATCAACAGTGTCATACGCCTTTCGAATATCAATTTTAAAAGCACATTTTGGTTCCCCCTCCGAACGCTGATATCCAGCAACAAGCTCATKGGCCATWAAAATRTTATCAGTGAYTTGACGCCCTGGAATGAACGCAGATTGGGCCTTGCTAATAAGAACATCCAGYGAGCCTTTWATCCGRTCAGCAATAAMTTTACTAATACACTTCAGCAACACATTACAACATGCAATTGGACGATAATCAGTAACACAAGATGCGTTAGGGATCTTTGGCACAAGACAAAGAAGAGTATGGTTCAGCTGATACTCCAAAATGCCAGAATAAAAGAAATTATGAATTCCTGTAAGAACATCCCGACCGACCACATTCCAGGCTGCTTTAAAAAATTTCGAAGAATACCCATCCGGGCCAGGAGCTTTATCATTCCCAATAGCAAATAATGCATCTTTTATTTCCATGTCCGTTATAGGCCGAATCAAGTAAAGAGAATCCGATAATGATAAAGAATTACCAAACACACAGTCCCCCATAGAGGGAGGGGCCACAACATTAGAAGTACCCAAAATACTTTTAAAATGAGAGAGAAAAGCAATAGGTACCTCTTGATGATCATAAACAATACCCAAAGAATCCATGATAGTAGCAATGTGGCTCCTATTGTGCTTTTCTTTCACAGCATGAAAGAAAAATTTTGAATTACTATCCCCTTCATTGAGCCAAGAAATCTTTGCTTTTTGACGGGCCATGTCCACTTGATCCTGTCTAGCTTGTTGATAAGCTAACAAGAGGTGAGCAATGTCCTCCTTTAGCAAGTCGTTAAACGGGTCAAGATCACATGCCAGCTGTGCAACATCCAATTCCATCTTTAACTGATTTACCCTTTTATCCAAGCAACCATACGTGTTTCGGAGACGCCGACAAACCACCTTTAAATCTTTCAATTTCCGAAGGACCCGCATCATATAAGATCCTCTCTGAGGTTTTGCCCAAACCTCCTCCACAGAACCAAGAAAATCCTTGTGAGAAGTCACAAAATTGTCAAATTTAAAGCCATGCTGTCGAATACGTCTACCAACTTTAAAAGAAAGAAGGCCYGGCGARTGATCAGATATCCCCCTCGGTTCAAAGAAAACCGAAGCATCCCCAAATCTAGAGACAAAAGCCGAGTTTCCCAAAATACGGTCTAGTTTTCGCATAACACCATCTCCCCCCGAAGGTTTTTGTATCCAAGTATACTGGCAGCCTTGGTATGAAATATCAAACAATTCCGCCTCTTCCAGGCAAAGATGAAACTCTTCCATGTCAGAATTTCGCCTAGATGATCCGCCCAACCCATCATGAGGGAAAAGCATAGAATTAAAATCACCCATCGCAACCCATGCTTTCCGTTGATTAAACACATGAAATTCACCCAATGCCCGCCAAAGCACACGCCTTTCCAAGCCCGTATTACATCCATAGACAAATGTAATAAAAACAGGCTCCTGATGACCAAAAAACCGAATTTCACAGTGGATATATTGTTGGTGCTGCTCAATGAGAAGAATAGAAAGAACTAACGGGTCCCATGCAATAATAAGGCGAGCGCCTTGTTCACAAATAGAGCCATTTGAAATCCAACTCCAATTACCAAAAACACTACTACAAACATCCCCCAAGTGATTAGAAGTAACTTTTGATTCAATTAAGCAACATAAAGAAAGATGCTTATGATGAATTAAATCACGAACCTCCTTCCGTTTGATAAGGGCATTTAAACCCCTAATATTCCACATGGCGAACTTTATCATTGAGACGAAGCAATAGTGACAGCCTCACGTCGTTTTCCCATATGGTGCCCCTCAGTGTCAATGATCTCCATATTGTCATCATCATCACTAGAATCGCTAGAAGATAGAGAAGCAAACCGATTACTAGAATCCAAAGCATGAAACTCACCTCTCCTTGGTTTAAACGCTTGGACCACCTTTTGAATTAACTTCGGATCCTCATCTGATAAAATTGTCACGTCTGGGTTATCTTCTCTACCCCTTGGTGTTCGTCCCGCATCAACCGTACAGAACTGACCCGCCACCTTTCCAACATCCGGCTCTCCCGAATTAGTTGATCCCCCAGAACATGGGAGGGTTTCTTGTGTATAATTGGAATCGTCACCCAAGCCCTTTGACTCCTTCTGAACCCTTTTTAAGGTACCAACTCCAGACAAAGAGTCCTGCTTACCTGAAACCGCACCCGAAGAAGAAGCCCGGACGTCAGATTTATCTTTTTGTCGCCACTGTTTGCGTCGGACATCTTGAAATCCCCCTTTTTGGGAGAAAGGTTTAGAGCCCATTTGCTTAGCATTGATCTCCTTCATACAAGATCCCGAGCGATGGCCAAAAACCTTGCAAGCTGAACACTGTGAGGGAATCCAATCATATTCAAGCACTACATTTATGACATCCTCTCCCATACCCGACAACCTTGGGATAACCACTTCAATATTCCTCTGTATTTCTCCAACAGCCCAAACATCCACCAGCACTTTAGCAAAATTAGTTCGGCCCCATACTTTGTCACAAGTGCTTGCAGTGCAAGCATCCAAACGCAAAGGAACACCTATAGCGCTAGCAATACGACTAATACCCTCTCTATTGAAAGCAACTAGAGGGATATTGAAAAACTTAACCCACAACGGGCAAGAGGTGTGCTCAGGCTTCTGAAGGCCCTTGGATGGGTCCCAGAGAGAGACAAACAGCGGCCTCCCTCTAATCATGAGGGGAGACGTCTCAATAACTTGGTTGCACCCACCATCATCATTGAAACGAAAAAAGAAGTAACCCATGTCATTTACCATAGCATCAAGAAGACCAAATTTTCCCCATGCATTCTGAACCGCACGTAAAACAATGGGGAAAGGAAGACGAGGTCCTAGAAAATAACCATAGAGAACTGATTGAAACGATTTAGCCATACCTTTTGTAACATCCAAGGGAAAACAGATCCGCGGTTTCACACTCTTCTCAACCGGAAAATAAGAAAGTTCTATGGAGGTAGTACGACCCACAATTTCTGCAAATGAGTTTTTAGGCCCCTCACAGTGATCACCCCTAACCGCTGGAGTGCATAAAAGGAGTCTAATTGACACAAAATGACACTAATTTGGTCATACTTAGTTTGATCAGGCCTTAATCGGTATAATGAGATTATTTCTCCTATTTGAGTCTAATTGAGCTATAATGGTACTAAATGGGTCATAATTAGTCTCATATTTAGTTTGGTCGGACCTTAATGCGTATAATGGGCTTATTTCTCCTATTTGGGTCTAATTGAGTTATAATGATACTCAATGCGTCATAATTGGTCTAATCAGAAGTTAATGGTAGTAATCGTCTATGCCTGATGATGTCTTCACAAGAAAGCTCTCTTTATCGGAAGCTAACTACATGATCCGGCCGATTCTAAATGACGAAATTAAAAATGCTATGTTTAGCATTGGTAATTATAAAGCTCCAGGATTTGATGGTTTTTCTTCCAATTTTTTCAAAGTTGCGTAGGATATTGTTGGCCGTGATGTGGAGCTTGCTATCCATAATTTCTTTTATCGAGGTAACCTCCCGAAGAATGTGAATCATACTCCTATCTGTCTTCTCCCTAAATCTGTTAATGCATCTCGGGTTAAGAATTACCGGCCCATAGCTTGCTGTACAGTGCTTTACAAATGCATTAGTAAAGTCATTGTAAACAGAATGAAGGGATCTTTGGATTCCTTAATTAATAAAGCCCAATCGGCGTTTATTCCGGGTATGAGGATCATAGATAATATTCTAGAATGGCCTCCTTAATGTTAGGAGGAACATTACCAAAGTAAATTTCGCTTTTTTCAAGGCTTGGTGCTAACCCCAAACGACTCTGAAAAAGAAAAAGTGCCTTTTTGAGCACTTCCACCGAAAGAACATCCCCTTTAGTAAAAACAAACAAATCATCAGCGAAACAAAGATGTGTCACATCCAGCTCTTCACAACCCCGATGGTACCCAAAATCAGCTGCTTCCCGAATACAATGCTTAAGAAGCATAGAAAACCCCTCCATCACAATCGTGAATAAGTAAGGGGATAAAGGATCCCCTTGCCTAAGACCCCTCCCTCCATGAAAAAACCCATAGGAATTACCATTGATCGCCAGTGAGTAAGAGGCGGTAGACACCATCTCCCTTATCCACTTGACCAGAACCGGATGGAATCCTAAACCTTGAAGCATAACAATGAGGAAACGCTAGTCCACAGTATCATAAGCTTTTTTGATATCAATTTTGAACGCACACCTAGGTGGTCCCGATGAGGTCTGGTACCCATAAACAAGCTCATGTGCCATAAGAATATTATCCGTGATCCTCCTACCCTGAATAAACACCGATTGGGCTTTATCAATTAAGGAATCCAAAGATCCCTTCATTCTGTTTACAATGACTTTACTAATGCATTTGTAAAGCACTGTACAACAAGCTATGGGCCGGTAATCCGTAACCCGAGATGCATTAACAGATTTAGGGAGAAGACAGATAAGAGTATGATTCACATTCTTCGGGACATTACCTCGATAAAAGAAATTATGGATAGCAAGCTCCACATCACGGCCAACAATATCCTATGCAGCTTTGAAAAAATTGGAAGAAAAACCATCAGATCCTGGAGCTTTATAATTACCAATGCTAAACATAGCATTTTTAATTTCGTCATCTAGAATCGGCCGGATCATGTAGTTAGCTTCCGATAAAGAGAGCTTTCTTGTGAAGACATCATCAGGCATAGACGGATCGAGGGAGACAAACCTCATACCCAAAAAATCTTTAAAATGATCAACGAACACTATCGGGACATCTTCACCATAGAAATAATCACCACCACCAGTGCAGACCGAATGAATGGAGTTGGAGTGATGCCTCTCTTTGATCACCTTATGGAAGAAGTTGATGTTCATATCACCATCATTCAACCATTTAATTTTTGTTCGTTGCTTAGCAGCACATTCCTCGTCCCAACAAGCATTCTGATACGCAATACGGATATGGCCAAGTTCAAGTCCCAACTCGTCATTTGAAGGGTCTTTATATACATCCAGCTGAATAAGATCTAATTCAGTCTTCAAAAAAGAGACACGTTTTCCAAGGTTACCATTCGAATTCCGAAGTTTACGAAGCGGAGTCTTGAGAGCCTTCAAGTGAGAAGTCACTCGAAACATAAAAGTGCCCTCAATATTTTTAGCCCATTCGTCCTTAACAACTTGTAAAAAAGCAGGGCTGATCATGAAACTGTCGAATTTGAAACCATACCTCTTTTTCCGAGCGTCGCCTTTGAAAGATACGACAACCGGCAAATGGTCTGAAAGGCCTGAAGGATGAAACTGAACTCTGGCATCATGGAATTTAGAAGTAAAATCCGAATTAGCCATAGCCGTATCGAGTTTGCGCAAGATACCCCCTTTAGCGTTTGGCTTTTGGTTCCAAGTGAAATGGACACCTGAGTAATGTAGATCAAAACTTTCAACATCCTCAACGCACGTAAAAAAGTCAGACATATCCGCATTACGACGAGAAAACCCACCGAACCCATCATGGGGAAATAACATGGTATTAAAATCCCCCATTACAACCCACGGTTGAGTACCAATCAAAACTTTAAATTTCCGCAATCCCGACCATAAATCTCTTCTGGCATTACCAACATTAGCCCCATAGACCAGAGAGAGGAAAATATAATCGTGGCCACCTCGTAAAAATACTTTACAATTTAGGAATTGACTATGGGCTTCCAAGGCCATAACATCTAAAGCTCGCGGATCCCAAGCTAGGACTATTCGAGTTCCATATTTACACACTTAACCGTAGAGTTGAGCCCCCAGATATTCCATGAAGCAAAGTTCAACATGATGAAGAGGTTGGAACATCCCCTTGACCCCTATTATCCTCATCCACAGTTCGAACAACATGATCTTTTCCATCACTAACCTGAGAGTCCGTTTGAGTACCCTCTCCCCCTGATTGCTCAAGAACGCCAAATATGTTGGAAGCTTCCACAGGGTCTTTCATAACCCCCTTCCGTGGCAAACGAAAGTTTTTTATCACAGAAGAAAGGAGAGGAGTAGAAGTAGCCATAGGGTGAGAAGATTGGGAAGACTGGGAGGAAGAGGCCATGGAAACAACATCACCAGAAGCACTCCGCATAATATTTCCTTGTTGAACAACCGGGTCACCAACCGAGGCTCCCATAATCCTTACCTTATCCTGTTCATGTTGTGAATTATTCGCTACCAAGGACGAAGCAGGAGGGCCAGACTTGTCATTCTCAAAAACCTGCCGGGCACCATGGAGATCGGGCTTACCTCCAGATTTTACGCGCCAATGTTTTTTCTCCACTCTAATAAACCCTTCGGAGTCTTTCCTCACATCAATATGCTTCCCTTTATTGAGACTAGCGGCTTTTGTACAAGTCGAGATTTTGTGACCAAAAATATTGCAATGGGAACATTGGACCGGCTCCCATAAATATTCAACCTGTATTTGTACACTGTCAGCATCCCCTCCATTAAGGTTTGGAATTTCAACCTCTATTTTCCTTTTTAGTTCTCCAATAGCCCAGACCTCAACCAACACTTTGGCAAAACCAGGTCGACCCGAAGCCTTCTTACACATTGCAGCAGTACAGGAATCCATCTGCTTATGGACTCCTAGTACACTTGCTATACGACTAACACCCTCTCTATTCAAAGCAACAAGAGGAATGTTATGCAATTTCACCCATAACGGACAAGAGGAGTGTTCCGGTTTTCTCAATCCCTTAGAGGGATCCCAACGATGAACGAAAAGCGGAATACCCCTAATCATCAACGGGCCAGCCTCAATCACCTGATCACATCCACCCACATCATTAAATTTAAAGAAAAAAATGCCATTCTCATTTAACATCACATCAGAAAAGCCAAATTTTCCCCAAGCCAAATTGACGAAATTTTTCACAACGGGGAAAGGAATACGAGGGCCCAAGAAATATCCATACAAAACCGAGTTATAAGCTTTCGCAGCATCCTACGCCATTTCAATAGGGATTTTCACACTTGCTTGATTTTTGTCAGCAAGTGAAAAGTGCTGGTTGATATGGTGGATCATTTCTGGGGTTGGGGGGCTTCTTTGCGTTTTTTGCTCCTCTATTTTATTTTTTGTTGCTTGTTTGAGTCTGTTGGGCTTTGTTCCTTTTGGCTTGTTGTGGCAAGTATGGGGTGTTGGCCAAGTTTTTGGGTTTCATACCTTGTAGGTAGTGGTCAAACTTTGTCTGTTCGCTGTTCTTCCTTTGGTTTATAAATTTGCCTGGTTTCCTTTAAAAAAAACACCAAATGGACCCTCAATCACTCCAATCAATGTTAAATTAGACTAATTATCATGAATTTAGCATATTATACCATTATGGTCTGATCAAACTAAATACAACCCAATTTGTGTTATTTGAGCCAATTAGATGTGTAAATGGACAGCCGGAGGGTTTTTTTCATGGTAWACGGGGCCTTCGACAAGGTGACCCTCTCTCCCCGTATCTGTTTACTGTTGTTATGGAGGGTCTCTCGCTGATTCTTTCAAAGTGTATTGAGGACGTGGCTCACTTTTCGTATCATCAAGGTTGTGCGGATATTAAATTAACGCATTTGTGTTTTGCTGATGATCTGTTTATCTTCTCAAAAGGGGACATTATGTCGGTGGAGGTTATAAAACGGGGTTTACAGTTGTTTGAAGAACGTTCAGGCTTATCACCTAGCCTGGAAAAGAGTGAGGTGTTCTTCGGGAATGTGTCAGTGGAGGACCAGAGGCGTATTCGTGACAGTTTATCTTTTCGACCTGGGGTTTTTCCTATTCGTTACTTGGGTGTTCCTCTTTCCCCGGYTCGTCTGAAGGTACGTGATTTTAATCCTCTTGTGTTAAAGATTAAAACTCGTTTATTAAACTGGAAGAATAAATTTCTTTCTTATGGCGGGCGTCGTCAACTTATCATTTCTGTTCTCCAATCTATGCAAACGTTTTGGATGTCGGTATTCCTTGTACCGGCAGCCACGATTCATGAAATTGAGAAGCTTTTTCGAANAGTGGGGGTCTGGGTTTGAAAAGACTTGGGATCTGGAATAGGTGTCTCCTTTTCAAACATATTTGGGATATTCTAAGGGAAAGAAATACGATGTGGGTCTCTTGGATTCGCTTTCACTGTGTTCGGGGCCGAAACTTTTGGGTTATCAAGAAGAGGAATGAATGGTCCTGGATAATAAGGTCTCTTTTAGATTTACGCCCTCATTGCCGACGTTTCTTTATCTATGATGTGGGTAATGGCTTATCGACACATGCTTGGGAAGATACTTGGAGCGTTTYGGGACCTCTTATTCAGGTATTGTCTTATAGATTTATCAATGGGCAGGGTTTCCACAATAATTCTACGGTCTTTGATGTTATGCACAGATTTGGTTCTAACTGGCCGGCTGATTGGCTTCAACGTTATCCTCAGCTGCAAAATGTCCTTATTCCTTCTCTAACACAAGGAGTCGATAGAATACGTTGGCTTGCTAAAAATGGTGCTAGGGGTGATTTTCAGGTAAAAGTGGCGTGGGAGACTATTCAAGAGGTACATCCGATTGTGCATTGGTATAAACTTGTTTGGAATAAAGCCTTCATTCCAAAACATGCACTTTGTATGTGGATGGYGTGCCAGAAGAAATTGCCTACCCAAGATCGTATTAGTCAGTGGAAGCATGAACCCCCGRATTTAAAGTGTGTGTTTTGTAAATTAGTGATTGAAACGCATAATCACTTATTTTTTGAATGCTCGTATTCAAGCAGAATTTGGGATTGCATTAAAAAGGAGGTGGGATTATTGTCTTATCCGAATAATTGGGAGGATATTCTTCATGCAGGATCAGCTCAATCTTGGAAATCTTGGTCTACGGTTCAGAAACTGGGTCTTTCGGCAACGATTTATAATATATGGAGGGAACGTAACAGGAAGTTCTTCGACAATTTCAATCATACGGAGGATCATATTATTGCGGTGATCAAGATGCAAATTCTTCATCGTATGGCATGGAAGACAAGAAAGAAGACTATGCATCTCAATGGCATGTGAACTCRTGGGTGGTGCTCTTTCGGTTTTGGTTGTTTTGGGTTTTTTTGCCTTTTGCTTGTTGGCTTATGGTTTTGTTTTGTTTTGGTGTATTTCCCTTTGTCTGTTTTGGCTCCTTATGACTTGGTTTGTGAGTCAAGGTTGCCGTAGTTACTCTTGCTGATTGTTTTGTTTGGTGTTGTTTTTACTGTCTTTATAAAATTGCCTGGGGAAACTCTTCCCCTTTCAGTAGAATCACTATGGATCAGATTAGTTATGATCCATTTTGTGTCATTTTGATCCAAATGACTCGATTATACTAAATAGGTCCGATATGGCTCAATTAGACTCAAATAGGAGAAATGAGCCCATGATAACCATTAAGGTCTGAACAAACTGACAATTACAACCAGCCACGTTGATTTTTTCTCTCAAGATGGCGATCTTGAGTTAGGGTTTCATGCTTGTTGCGTTGATCTTATGCATGTGTTCGTGATCATTGTGGCTGATTATTTTCGTTTGGATCTGTTCCTTTCTTCTTGATTATGTTTTACTTTCGTAGAAGGAGGATTAGGGTTTTACGAATCACTCACGATAGCTGCTGTCTTCGATCGGGCTACACTAGGGTTCTGCTTGTTCGTGTTTTGTGGCTGTTTGTAAACGATTGGATCTGCTTCAACTTCCTTGTGTCTCGCTACCGAAGGAGGAGGTTTAGGGTTTCCGTGTTTGTTGCTTCATTACGGCTGCTCTCTCTCTAGGGTTTCTGGTTACGGTTTGACCTTCTGTTGGTAAGCCGTTTCTTTTCTTGTTTGGCTTTTGTGTTTCTGCTGCGGCTAGGGTTGGCAGGTTTCGTCTACTGTTTCAGTCTTGACCGTTGTGTTTTAGGGTTCTGCCTGCATTCTGTTTGATAACCCACTAGGGTGTTCACGCTGTTTTGTTTGCGAATCCATTTGGTTTGTGTTCTTCTCAAGTACCGTTGATTTTCACGCCTGCTGTTTACGTGGCTGTTGTTGATTTTTGTGCTTCTTTCTGCGGGTTTAGAACAGTGGTAGGAGGTTTTCGTGATTGTTGATTTTCCATGTGATCGTTTTTCTTGAGGTGTGCTGCTGTGTGGGTTGTTTGGGTTCCAAACTTTGTTTGGTTTGGCTTCTGTTGATTTCATCGTATAAAGCAGAAGATTGAATTGTTTTGGGCTGGTAATTTTCATTATTTTATGTGATCTGCTGCTCTGCATAGTTCCTGTCACTACTGCTTTGGTTTGTGAATGCTGCTGCTGGTCGTTCTGGGTAGTAGGCATCCTGATCTGAATTGCTGCTACTGTTTAATATATTGTTGGAACGGTTTTAGTTTGGTTGCTGCTGTTGTTTCTGCTCGTTTCTGCTGCTTCTCGTTTTGCAGTTTTGATTGTGGCCATCTTCTTCTGTTGGTATAGTTCTTCTCTTTTCATTTTCTTTCGTACATCCTAAGTGTTTCCGGGGTCTTCGTCACTTGCGTTGAATTCCCTTGATAGATATTCAGCACCTCGGTCTCCGTGGTCTTCGTCTATCTTATTAAGGGCACTAAACGTTAGTTTCAGCACCTTGGCTTCTTAGTGTGTGTGACGAAATGGATGAGAATTCTATTCCAACTACTACTGATCATATCAGAATTTCAATTTTTGAAAGGCTTACTTCTCAAGGTGATGGTATGGAGAAATTAAACTTTGTGAAAGCGGTGGGTAATTCAGTAGCCATGGATCTCCAATTTTATCCGTTGCCTGATAAAAAGGATGTTAATGTGAAAATTCCAATTGAAATGGCTAAGGAGGCTGCTAAAGCNTGTCTTTATAAAATTGCCTGGGGAATCTTCCCCTTTCAGTAGTATCATTATAACTCAATTAGACTCAAATAGGAGAAATAAGCCCATTATACCCATTAAGGTCTTCGCTGTTTGGTTTTCTGTGGTGGTAGTATCGTTCTCTTCTCTGGCTGGTTTGGATTCTGCTGGTGGGATTTTAGGGCATTTTTAGGGTTTTTCTAACCGTTTTGTACGGCTGGTTTTGGGTTTGGTAGGCGGTTTAGGGTTTCTTTTTTTTCCCGCCTGCTGTTGTCGTTTTAGGGAAGCGCCTTGACTCCAGTTAATTGTTAGTGGCCTGCATTGTTCCCTAGGGTTTGGATTTTATATTCTGCCGCTGTGTGGTGCACATGCTTCGTAGTGGCTGTTGTTTATTTTATAATTTTATGTGCTTCACTCTGCGGGTTTCGAACAGTGGCCGAAGGTTTATTGATCCTGTGTTTTTATTCTGGTGGTGTGCTGTTGTGTGGGTTGTTTGGGCTGCAAGCATTGATTGTTTTGTTTGGTAGTGATTCTGTTGGTTTCTTCGTATAAGGCAAAAGTTTGATTTGGTTGTGGGCTGGTAACTTCGTTATTTTTGTAATCTGCTGCTCTCTAGTTGCTGTTTCTGGTCTGTGACTGCTGCTGCACTTCTTCTGGGTTCGTAGGCTTCACGTTTTCATTCTGGTTTGCTGCTAGTATTTAGTATTCAATCTGGTTTGCTGCTGCTGCTTTGTGCTTTACGATTATTCTGCTTGTCGGTTTGCTGTTTTGATCGTGGTTTTTGGATTTTGGTTTGCGGTTCTTCTTGTTTTTGAAGTAGCTCTTCTCTTTTCATTTTCTTTCGTACATCCTAAGTGTTTCCGGGGTCTTCGTCACTTGCGTTGAATTCCCTTGTTAGATATTCAGCACCTCGGTCTCCGTGGTCTTCGTCTATCTTAATAAGGGCACTAAAACGTTAGTTTCAGCACCTCGGCTTCTTAGTGTGTGTGAAGAAATGGGTGAGAATGCCACTACTACT